ACTTCAGACGTTCTAGATGCAATGGAAAACAATCAGCGAAGGTTAAGTCAGAGTCGGGAAGCAATCTTGTAAGGCCTCTGTCTCGCTCGCTCTCTTTCTCGCCAAAGAAATGATATAGAAAAGCATGGTCATACAGACATTTGGAAAGATTAGTGGTAGCAGTCTTAGAAGTACACAAACATAAGCCACTAATGATGTTTCTGTCCTAGTCGTCGTGCCTAATATTTCTGCATTGCTGTCTTCTCAAAATAGCCATAATCAAATTGTACTTTATAATTTCTGAGTTCCTGGGAAGACGAAGTTCAAAGGAATCCAAAAAAAATTGAAGAATTGGATCTATGTCCAAGAATTACGCTAAGCAAACAATTTCTCTTTGTTTTGCCGTCCTCATGTCAAATATTCTTGGCTATTTTAATATCGTTCTTTCCACAAGATTTCTGACTGTCTACCTTTGCCTTGGTACTTGGCAGGCCCTTTGAAATCTTGGAAAGATTTCGGATGCATGAATTTGCAGAAGGCAGCTTGCATCCATTCGAGTGCACACAGAGCTAGCAGCATCCTACCTCAGGTGCAAGGGTAACGAGCACTTCCAATAGTTGAAAAGTCCACTCTTGCATTCCTGTAGATACTCTCCCTCGCTCCACTCTTAAATATTACAACAATGGAATACTAGCCAAATTGCACTATTTACTGAAATACAACTCTGCACCAATAGTTACAAATGACGTTCTCTCTGATCCTCATTGATCTCTTTGCATGTGGTCGGATGCTGGATGTAAATTTTTGGAGCATGCAACATTTATCATTCAGGGGGATCAGGGATTGAAGTTATTATGTTGGTCATTGTGGATGCCAATGAGACCTTTGTGAAGCACTTTGGCTTAAAGTTGTCAAGCATTGTCTCTTCTTCGCTGTGTAGTTTCTTTCCAAATTCTGTTGGCAGCTGATGGCTGTCTCTTTGAGTCTTCTTTTTTGACCCTTAACGTTATATATATGTGTATATATACATATCTGTTGCACTTTGTGCATCACTGCTGTATAGTGTATCCTTATATTTTTGGTCGTGCAAGAGTGAAACTGTACATGGCAGGCTATACCTTTTGGGGGTAATGCTTTATTAGATTCTACAATTCGAGTCTTTCGTGCCAATTTTTGTAAAATTTCGAATGACAATAATGCTTGCACCACCTGTGCGCATGAAGTCGAGGGGTCAGCATGCAAACAAATAATAGATAGAGCAAATGTTAGATCGATGATTTAAGTTTGGCTTGTGCGCTAATAACCTAACTACGTGGTGGTCCTATAATGACACAGCCGTATGATCTGTGTGGCCATCGCAGTTCAATTTTAGCGAGTTTGAAGTCACAAGGAAACTGCGTTGCCAATAAGTAAGGAGGAAATGCCTGCCATGTACGTAGATGAGCACTTTTAATCTTAAATTTGTAGCTTCATAGCACTAATCCAATCACTTTGGAGAGGGCCATATTGGTGACCTGTATCATGTTGTGAGGTCAGCTCTGCATGTCTCTGGACATAGTTTTCGTCAAGGGACTTTAGAATACTAGTAGTACGTGTTTTCAGCTTTGATGTCCGCGCACGGCTGGCCTGGTTCTTGTCAGCTGTGAACGGCCTTGACCGGGCGACTGCAGGGGCTGCTGTTTGAAGGTGGACTTGTGGGTTGTAATTGGTTTCTTGTGTTAGGATCCATCTGGTCATGGTGGTTCTTTGCTTATTCTTTTTCCTTTTTCTGATCCTGCAGAGTCGGTAATTTTCGCTTATTATTATTATATATATATATATATATCATATATGCTCATTTACTTGTTTCACAACCCAAGCAGGTGTGGTGTCTTTGACCTGATGGATTCCTCTGCGTTCATTCCATTTGAGCTTTTATACTCTGGACATTTAACTTAAAAGAGAAAAGTTCTTGGTGAACTTACAAATTATTATTATTTTTTTGGTCCTTTAAGGTTTGAAGGACTACTAATATGATTGCAAGTAGCTCATATTAGTCGCTTTTTAACATGTCTGTCCGTGTAAGAATTATATTCATAAATTATAAGGCGTAATACTAACCCCTTTTCGTTCAAATTATACCGAGAAATCTCTTATGATTTACAAGCCTACCGTTATGTTCCATCTAAATAATCTTGTCATTTATGTTTTTCTTCACCACCTTTGCCTCCTGTCCAAATAATTTGTCCTCCCCTCAATCTATGCTTTCCTTACCACCTATCCCTCATCCTTTGCCACTTTTTTAAGATTCCGTTCCAGATAATTCATTTTCTACTAAATCTTCTCCATATTGGATTCTGCGTGGATTTGTTGATTCAGGTAAGTTCAATCAATTTTTTTCGGGCATTCTTACATCCAATTTTTTAAAATAGATAATTAGTTTAGATGAAGGATTATTTCATATTTCCAAAAGAAATACCGTTATGTTCCATCTAAATAATCTTGTCATTTATGTTTTTCTTCACCACCTTTGCCTCCTGTCCAAATAATTTGTCCTCCCCTCAATCTATGCTTTCCTTACCACCTATCCCTCATCCTTTGCCACTTTTTTAAGATTCCGTTCCAGATAATTCATTTTCTACTAAATCTTCTCCATATTGGATTCTGCGTGGATTTGTTGATTCAGGTAAGTTCAATCAATTTTTTTCGGGCATTCTTACATCCAATTTTTTAAAATAGATAATTAGTTTAGATGAAGGATTATTTCATATTTCCAAAAGAAATATGTTTTTGTTAAAACGATAAAATTAGATCCAGAACGAAAAACTACGGAGAGAAAAAAAAGATAATTAACCAGATAGAAAAATTCGATAATTAGTTTATATGAAAGATTATTTCGTATATCAAAAAAAAAAAAAAAAACTTTCCAAGCTAAGCTTCTTCAAAACACTAAAAAATTATTTAAAAAAAGAAAAGGGAGGGAACGGGGCTTCTAACACTTTGTTATACGGTCTCCACACTTCTCTTTAATAAATAGTCGTTCCTCTGTTACTTTCTCTGATTGTTCCTTCTTCCCGAATCCCTTCCTGGCTTGCGAAATTAGATATTTACATAATGTCAGATTCGGACCGAATTCCGAACGCTGATGATCATGCAGATAATCCTTTGCCTGACTTTACTGATGAGTTTTTTGAGGTCGGATGACGGCAAATTTTTACATTTTCTGATCCTTTATTTTCGTATTTTTGGCAGATTGATGTTTCCAGCTTGTTTTTTTCACTTTTTTTTTTTTCGCAGGCCAATGTTGAGAATAGCATACTCCAGCAGTTTCCTGGTTGTTTAACTCCAGTTGCTAATCAAGGCAATGTTGATAGTTGTTGGGCATTTCCGATCACTGATTGCATCGCTGCTTTTTCCTACATTGAACAGGACGAACACGAGGACAAACTTTTAGTGCCGCTGTCGAGGCAGCAGCTCTTAGATAAGGTACCTGAGATGTCTAGGAAGAGGAAATGGGAGATGCATGGAGAGAGTTACGCAAATAGCTTAGAAAATGCGTTCGAATACATTCAAAAGAACGGAGTATATCCCCGAAATGCGTATCCAAGTTACGGCTATTATAGGGATAGGGATAGGGAGGCATTAGATCCAGATTGTCGAAAATATACTGTGTCTGGATATAGGATGATGTCTAGGGACGAGGCACATTGGATGGTGAAAGACCGACCGGTCGTGGCTAATTTGAGATACGCGACCGTGTTTCAGCTTTGGAAACATTTTACAGAGTATGGGAGGGGGACTGCCTGGCAAGGAGGCACAGAATTAATGGTTGTTCCAGGTTTCAAGCAAGCAAAAAGATATAAGAATACATATCATGCTGTACTGTTAGTTGCCTCGGGGACCGTTAGTGTTGGTAGGTCCTATCAGGGACAGAAATTTTTTATCGCTAAAAATTCATTTGGTCCAGGATATGGTTTTCAAGGTTTTTGTAGGGTGCTTGCGAGTTTATTGAGCGATTTTTGCATTCCCGAGGATGTTAAGCTAATGGGGGATACGGTTGGGAATGATGATGCGGCTGAGAATGATGATGTGGCTGGGGAGGATGGGGGTGTTAATGATCCAGGTATCTCTTGCCCGGTAATGTATGGGGAATGATTTTATACATGTTTAGCTGAAGATTGCTTAATAATCATGGGCAATGCAACAGTGAATGCATAGCATGATATTTCTTGGCATTTTTGATACTTGTGCTTAATTATTTTCCAAATAAGCTGCAAAATTATCATGCTTGATGTCTGATTTGTCCTTTTTTTGTATCTGATGTGTAAAAGTATTTTGGGACTGGAATGATCTGCTAGAGTTAATGAGATAATGACCATTGGAGTGCACCTGGATGTTTGCTTTTTGAGAAGAAACTATAATACGATGAAATAGTTCTTTTCCTGTTGATGTACTTGAATAAGAATTCATTGCAGTATTCAGCTTAATTAACTTGTATCATCAGTGAATTACTTTAGAATTTCTTTTACATTTATGTCAGCATTTTAACATATGCTTTATAAGCCCTCCTAAAGAATACACCTCAATTTACTGGGGCTTTCTGTAACCATAAATCGGATGACTTTCGATTCTTTGCTATCATTTTTTTGCCCACCTCTGAGATTTTGCGTTGATATATGTCTGTTCAGTTTCCAGGCTTGAAGGTTTTGTTTCAAATGCAGAACAATCTTGTGAAGATCCTATTGAAGAGTAAGGAACTCATTTTTCTAAAAGGGGGTATTGTTTTCCTTTTTTATTTCATTGACTAAGGATTGACCTCAAGTTCATATGATCTTTATGAATCCTATCATACAGGTTGCCTCATACTGTTTTTGTGGCCGAGAATGAGAAGTCTACTGTTGCTGAATTGGCTGCAATGCTACAGGCTGATCTTTCTCAGCTGCAGGCAGCTGCATCTTTTGTTTGCCGATTGGGATGGGCTGAAACACTACAAGCTGATCTTTTTCAGATGCCTCCTCCTTCAGTTTTGCTGGGACCAAAAGGTCCAATTCATTTTGGTCCCCCTTGTTACTCTTCAATGACTTGTTGGATGAAATTGGTCCTATATTCTGCTGTGGCTAGTGGACCTCTATCAGTTATTTTGATGAAAGGTCAATGCTTAAATTTGCTACTTAGACATTCAGCTGTGCTGGTGCAGCCTTTTAGCAGCGATGACCTCGATAAGGATGGAAAAACCGTTACTTTGGACATGCTGTTGCCCCTGGAAAATTCGGATGGCTCACCTGCTTGCATAGGTGAAGAGCTGGGATTATGCCCAGAAGAGTGCTCAGAATTAAATGTAATGTTAAACTACCTTGCCAAAAAGATAGATCTCCTGACCATTGGTTATATTCGCCTGCCAAGACTGTACAAAGAACAAGAACCTGAGAGCTCTTTTTCTGATGAGAAATATGAGTGGGTTCCATTAAGTGTTGAATTTGGAATACCACTCTTTAGTCCAAAACTGTGCAACAATATTTGTAAAAGAGTGGTTTCTTCACAGTTACTTCAAACAGACAGACTTACTGAGCATCATGATGCTATGCAAGACAGGAGGAAGAGGTTGCGGGATATATGTGCTGAATATCAAGCAACTTGTCCAACTGCCAAACTTCTTTATCAGAAAGAACAGCCTAAAGGGTCATCTCGGCCACTAATGAACTATGCAAGTGGAAGGTGGAACGCACTTGTGTATCCTCCTCCTATTTCTGGAGCCTTGAGCGAGCACCAAAGACTAAAACTTACTAACTGACAGCGCTGCAGAACAGTTCTGAGTTTTGATGGTAACATCTTGAGGTGCGTATTTAGCCTTTTACTTTGTGTCCTATCTAAATATAAAGCAACTTTTTACAAATTCTACTGTTTTGGGCATTGGATTAGTAACATTTAGAAGCTCTTGCTTCTTATGTGTTTTGCTTCTTTGTTTTCTAGCACTGACTTTTTATAAATGTGCTGAAAGTTTAAATTAGAAATATAGGGCAAGTAGAATCTGCTCATTCAACTTTGCTTGTTAGCAAAAATCCTCTATACAGCTGTTGATTAAATGCTGCAGAATAACAGGAGTTTTGGAATGCACATGTCAATTTACAATAGAGCCTATTAAAGGCCCTGCAAAGTTTGGTGGGAAGAATTTGAGCACCTGGGAATGCATAATGTAGATACTTGCAACTTAATGCTTTTATTTCCTAATTGAAAAGTGAGAATAATAGAACAGAGCGTGAAAAGATCCGATGATGGCTGACCCTAAGGAACCTTCAAATGTCCTATTTAATATTTGAAACTTGACAGATAAAAGAATAAAATCATGAGTTGGGAAGTGGTTTTTTCCTTCTCTTTTTGGCTTGAAGAAGAATAAAATTTTATAGCATCCTAGATCTGGTTTATTATCCTCCTCCTTACCAGAACCAAAAGAAAGCCCAACAAATGTTGAAACATATCCAAATGGTTTTGCAGATCTTATGCTCTGAGAGTCTTTGAGGGCGCTGCCAGGCCTGATGAAGAATCCCTTCTCATGAGCACTTCTAAGGTTGAAGCTGACTGTAAAGAAGGTGAATCTTATGCTCTGACTCCTGTCTATGAGGCTGCTACCAGGCCTGATGAAGAATCCCCTCTCATAAGCACTTCTGAAGTTGAATTGGATGAAGCTGACAGTAAAGAAGTTGTTCTTCCTGGTGTAAATGTTCTCTCTGATAGATTGAGTTGCGCCCTTTTGATATAGGCAGTTGTCTGCAGGCTCGCCAACCTGACTCTTTGGTATCTGAGGCCTAAGCAGCATCTGCTGGTTCTGTGGTCAAGTAAAACTGTGGCATGTTGAAGGCTGGTTCTGTGGTCAAGTAAAATGAAAGCTCCATTAGCCATGAGAAATATAATAGAAAAAAGAATGCATCAATTCTTTGTTTCCCTTTTTTTTTCTCTCGTCGTTGACCTAAGCTTTTTGCATATATTTCCATCATGACCTGGGAAGGCAAGGGGCATGGTGCCTAGACTATAGACCCATTAAAATTTTTTTGGATGTTTATAGAGCTTTATTCATTGACTGATAGTTTCGGTAGTTCTAGTTTCTTTAATACTTGCCTAGTTTATCAGGTTACAGATCTAGTTCTAGTTTCCACTTTTTGGATGTTTATATAGAGCTTTATTCATTTGAACGAGGACTTCCATTTTGTATCTGGTGATATTCCTCAAGAAGCAATGGGAATCATCGTTTGCCCTGGGGGTGAATTCATCAGTACTCGTAATTTAAACTGGTTCGCTGCTACAGGCAGACAGATTAATTGAGAGTGTAATGCATATGTACTGATGAAATTGATCTAGAATCTCAAAAAGTTTTCGCCATGATTCTTAACACGTTGGACTGTAATTCAAGAAGCCCGTTTTATCCAAGTACTGTCTTTTTAACTGAGACTGGAAGCATTTATGGTTGTCCATGCTTTGTACTGGTTGTCAATCACCTCTGCGGGTTTAAAGTTTCCTCCTTACAGTAGCTCGGGAGAGATTTTGCTTCTTTAAGCAGCTGCCAATAACTTCTTGAAAGCCTCATTTCTGTGTAAACCTCAATCAAAATGGAATTACATACTATACAAGATTAAACAGTCGAACAAGTTTCTGCTGTGCTCAACTTGACAGCACGGGCTAGTGAACAAATTCCACCGTCCCCAATAGCTCATTGATCAAAAGAAGCCTCGTTGAAAATCCGTAAACAAATCCAAATTATTAAGTATATATAACTGTTGCCGCTGGGAAAAGTTGCTATCTTTCAAGAAACAGAAGGAAGAATGGAGACGAGAGCAGGGGAAGACATAGGCAGGGGAGAAGACCTCAGACCTCCACTCCTACCCCTGGCCGTCTCTCTCCACGATTCTTTCCTCCACTCTCACTGCTCCGCCTGCTCCTTCCCTCTACCAAGTGCGCATTTTACTCCCACTTCCCCCTCAAATTCACCACCCCACCACCGCTACTGCTCCCCCGGTTGCTCCTCCCTTGACTCTCCTCCCTCCATGTGTTCCCCTCCTCCTCTCGAAGACTCGTCCCACCTCCGCTTCTCCCTCCGCCTCCTCCATAAACTATTCCACTTTCAGAACGACGCGGTAGAAGTAAAACTGGATAGGATTGGAGGGTTAATGACCAACTATGAGAAATTCTTGAATTTGTCTGAAAATGAGGAGGACGACGAGGCATTGGAGATGATTAAGGAAGGTGCGAGGGCGATGAAGCTCTTGGCGGGAAAATTGGAGGGAGTGGTTGGGGTGGAGGAGGCGGTGATGTGCTTGTGCTGACGACTGCGGTGGAGGTGCAGGATAAGGACGGGAGAAATGTGGGGATTGCGGTTTACGATTGGAGGTTTTCGTGGATTAATCATAGTTGTTCTCCCCAAGCTTGTTTTCGGTTTGTAACGACGAAGACCATACCTCCTCAACAAGTGGTGGAGGGAGAATCCCAGCTCCTGCGGTTGAGAATTTACCCTGCTGCCATGGACGGTGGAACTGGTGATGGACTTGATGGTGATTGCAAGAGTGAGTTTTTGAATCGTTGTGCATTTTCTTGAGTTGAAATTTTTTTTGTTTTGGTTGTTATGATGAACTGATTGATTGTTATTTGTGTTAAATAATGTGCAGGTAGTAAGGGATGTGGTCCGAGCATCATAGTCCGGAGCATAAAAGGAGTTAAGAAAAATGAGAGGATACCAATTACTTATACTGATTTGTTCCAACCTAAGGTAAAAAGGTTACTAACTACTTAAACCAGTACGTTATTCCAGTTTTCAACAGGTTAAATTTAGCATAGCTAGAAATTTGGTGCTCCTGCATTCCTAGAATACTAAATTTCCAACCTTCTAACATAACAGAGTTGAAAAGGAATGGCACCATAGCGGAGAATATTAATCTGGTTAAGGCTGGTTTTGTTTTGATGCACGGCTTTCTTTTTCTTTGTTTGGTGGGGCTGGCTTTTTCATCAGTGTTTTATTTTTTTATTTTTTATTTTTTTTTGGGGGACTGATCGGTCTAGAGTTGAAATCAGATACAGATGTGGTTAAGTTTGGTGGGTAAGAAGTATTCGTTCAGGAGTAAAAGGCATAATAGTCTCTTGTATACTGTTTGTTCTGGCTTGCTGGTGCTGATTTGAGTTAAAAAGTTAATGACTTTGTTGATGATAACACATTTTTTGCCCTCTGAACCGATTATAATATAGGATATTCAATCCTCATCTCTGATACATGTCACTACTTTGTTCCAATTCAGTCAAGTTTATTCATACTTTAACAAGGTGGTGTCCTGAACATATTACATCTATTAGTTATACAATGTTTATTGTCGCTTGACTAACTTGCAGTCTTGGGTGGTTAACTTGTGCATTGATCCAGCTTGAGTTAAGTACTTGGTTACTCAGCATTTGCTTTGACATATATTCTTCAGGAAATGCGGCAGGCTGAATTGTTTACAAATTACTGGTTCAATTGTTGCTGTAAGCGATGTACTGCAACTCCTGCAACTTATATTGATCGTGCTTTGCAGGTATCTTCCCCTGTACTTGGTTGTCCTTGGTTTTCTATTCTGCTAAACCTACAAGTCCAATTTTAAGTTCCTTTATCCTGTGTGTTTCTCTTCTTTGCTGCTCAGTACTCCAGAACTATGACCGTATCTATTAACTGTTCCTCCACGTAAATTACTACTAGCAGTGAAAATCACTAGAGTCATTTCTTGCTGTTTGTGTACATTTTATCATTGTTCCTCTTGAAAAGCACTGTCATGTACAATTCCAGTGTACTTTACCTGACTGGCTGCCTTAACCATCTGACATTAGCTTGTTTCCGCTCAAAGTGTAGACCAAAAGAAAGGAATTCTGAAATCTTCTATGGTTCAATTGTCATGAATGTGAATTTTCATGTGCAGACAACGTGGCTTTAACTGCTTATTTGCTTTTGCCTTTTTCTGTAGGAAATTTTTGTTTCTGGTGTTGATGGTCTCAACTTGATTTCCAATGAAGACTCGTACAGATCCAAAGCAACTGCAAAATTCACGGATTCAATTGATGGTGCTATTGATGAGTATTTGAACTTTAACAATCCCGAGTCATGCTGTGAGAAGCTTGAGGATTTGCTTACACATGGGCACCCTCAAGAGCCACTGAAACCAAAGCCAGAAAAGTCACCTCAATGCATAAGGTTACACTTGTTTCATCATCAATCTCTACATGCATACACCACTACACTTGCTTCAGCATACAGAGTCCGTGCTAGTGACCTCTTGGCTTTTAATCCTGAAAATCATCAGCATCAAATGGAAGCTTTCACTCTGAGCAGAATAAGTGCAGCCTACTCCTTGTTGTTGGCTATAGTTACACATCATCTTTTTCTTTCTGAATCTTCAATAATTGCCTGTGCTGTGAATTTCTGGAAAAATGCTGGGGAGTCCCTAGTTTATCTTTTTAGAAGCTCAGCCTGGGGTACATTTTCCAATTTACAGCAATCTGTTTCTGAAAATTCGTCCATTCTAAACCATAAATGCTATCAGATTGTCCAACTGGATAGTAGTGAAGCCAATTCTTTTATTAATACTGAAGATCAATGTGGAATGTTTGGGGACATAAGTAGGCAGCACATAAATTGTATTGTCAACTTAACAGAGAAAATATGGAGCTTCCTTAGTCATGAAAGTCGACATCTGCAAGAAGTTAAAGAGCTCATTGATTTTAGATGGCTTCTCACAGTGGAAACTCCCCTTGATCTCGGAACTCGTCTTACTTGCCGGGATAGCAGGAGTGTTTCCAGACTTCAAGAAAAGGAGCATACCAACCTAGAGAGAGCATATCTCTTTCAGCTTGGTCTCCACTGCCTGCATTATGCAACATATTTGTCAAACATCTGTTATGGCCTAAATTCCCTGTTGACAGGTGAAGTTTGTCAATCTTCTATACTCTGAAGGTATGTATAGTGGCTGGTTAATTCAACCAATTTGCCTGAAAATATTATCAAATAGCAATATGAAAAGGTCATTAGATAGATGGTGATCAAAAAGCTCAATTCATCACGCTTATATACCCTATAGTTGGGTGTATCTTTCCAGGTTTGAATTCTCATCGGGCAGGCATTAAGTCGTAGTTTATGCTTGCTGCAGCCAAGCAGGAGTCCAATATTATCGTCCTCTTTCCATTTGTTATTTTTTGGGCCATAGTCCTAGGAATAAGCATTTGATGAGTTAATTTTGGTCTACTGAATTGGAGTAGAGTCAACTTAATGTGGGTGCTCTTATCAGGCCTCAAGAGATTTGATAGAGCCTGCCTACCTGACACCTAAGTATAAACGTCAAACAACCTCAAACAAAATATTGCAAACAATCTAACATGCTAATAGCTGTTCTCCTGTACTTTTATTTGTTTATTTTTTTCACCTTCCCATCGCTGTCCATATCCTTTTTTCGCCTTCATATTACACCCTTTTCGCCTTTATATTGTCAGATTCAGAATTCAAAATCTGAATCTCATAATTGAAAGGACGCTAAGAGCTTTTCTTGCCAAATTTTTATTTATTTATTTAATTTTTTTTTTTTTTTTTTTTTTTTTACATTCTTTCATTCCTGTTCATACCTTTTTCTCGTAGTCATACTATACCCTTTTCTCCTTCGTACCGAGAGACTCAGAATTCAAAATCTGAACCTCATAATTGAAAGGACGTTAAGAGCCTTTTTTTTTAACTATTAAACGAACCCTAATGGTTTTAGTACCCATTTAAAAGAGTTTGTCAATTTGTTGTTGTAGAGAGCTACAATTAGGGGTGTCGAATCGAGCTCGAATACTAGTTTGATCGAGTTCGAGTTCGACAAAGTGCTTAAGGCTCGAGATTGACGAGTATTAGTTTTACATGCTCGAATTCGATTCGTAAGAAAATCGTGAGGTTCGAGCTCGTGTTCGAAATTGCTTGAATCGAGCTCGAACTCGAGAGCCATTAATTATTGTGCTCATTTAAAAATCCTGATTCTTAGTAAGCAGAATTTATTCTTTTGACTGATCTTTTATGTGCCATTTGCATTTGAAAATTCAAGAATTTCCATAGAAATCTACAAAATAAAAAATTGGAGATGTTTGGAACAACTTTTTCATCACATCTCGTGTTTTCCTTGGGCAGATGAAATCAAGTAGAAACCCTCAGTCTCAATTGATTTTGGGCATTTTGGGTTGTGCAGAGTTTAGAATGCTTCAATGAGTAAATGCCTATACGAGTTGAGAACATTCACAGGAAAGTTTTAGGACAGGATTCTACTTGTTCAATGCCCCATTTTGTTAGTTCACCATGATGGAATTTACAGGACCTAACAATAAACTAACATAGCAGGGTCAAAATAAAAAAAAATGCAAGAAAATCTTGCCCAACCAGCTAGGGTCCACCATTGAAGAAGAGATTAAGTAGATACATGCATCTTCCCAAGTTTCTGCGTCTTCTCTGTTCAATTTTTGTCAATCAGCAAAATTGTGTTTGATAACACGACTTATTACCCTTCAATATATATATATATATATATATATATATATATATATATATATATATATCTTTATCTTTATAACATATAAGAAGACGTTTTGAGGATTCTTGTTCATTGCATTTCATCTGCTCTTCTGGGGCACTTTGGTCGTTTCAACCTCTTGCTTGTTCTTTTTCTTGCAGCTGGTAAAACTGGTTGCTGCATTTGTTTAGAGAATATGTCTTTTCTACCCTTATTACAAGCCTTACCCGGCTGTTAGTAGAATGTGCGGAAGGTTGTAATATTTGGTTGGGAAGTGTTTTGACCATTTGATAGATGTGATGGGAGGGTTTAATCAAGTGTCAGTAATTAATAGCTCCTTATTACCTTTTTAGCCCTCTAGATGCTGATTATATGGATGTGTTTCCATCTAATTAGGCCTTTTTATGTAATTTAGCCTTTTTAACTTTTCACCCATTCTTGGAGACCCTTTTTCCTCTGAAATCTGTCGGCCAGTACTAATTCAAGCCAATTATGCCTTTATTCTGTTGACCTTATCACTTGTCAGATGATATACTATGCATTATCAAACCATTACCTACCAAACCCCCTCCCTCACCCAATTGCCCCTGTCCTCTCCCCACCCTCAACCCCTCCCTCACCCCGCGGCTGCCGGCTCCGACTGCCGTAGCAATGGCTTTTATTAAAGCCCAGAAAACAAAAGCTTACTTCAAGCGCTACCAAGTCCCGTTTAAGAGAAGGAGAGAGGGAAAGACGGACTACCGAGCTAGGGTGCGTCTGATCAATCAAGACAAGAACAAGTACAATACTCTGAAATATCGCTTTGTTGTGAGATTTACAAAGAAGGACATCATTGCTCAAATTGTTTCTGCTAGCATTGCTGGTGACCTGGTTCTTGCAGCTGCTTATTCACATGAATTGCCTCATTTTGGCCTTGAAGTGGGTCTGACCAATTATGCTGCAGCTTATGCTACTGGGCTTCTGCTTGCCCGCCGAGTTCTCAAAAAGCTTGAGATGGATGAGGAGTATGAAGGAAATGTTGAGGCTACAGGTGAAGATTACTCTGTTGAGCCAGGTGATAGCAGGAGACCATTCCGTGCTCTTTTGGATGTTGGTCTTATAAGGACTACAACTGGAATTCGTGTTTTTGGTGCCTTGAAGGGGGCATTGGATGGTGGACTAGACATTCCTCATAGCGAGAAGAGGTTTGCTGGATTTGACGAGGAGACCAAGCAACTTGATCCTGAGGTTCACCGCAAGTACATCTTTGGTGGCCATGTTGCTGCATACATGAGGACTTTGGCAGAAGATGAACCTGAGAGGTATCAGCCTCATTTTAGTGAGTACATTAAAAGGGGTCTTGAGGCAGATAACCTTGAGGAGCTGTACAAAAAAGTCCATGCTGCTATCCGCGGTGATCCTACTCCTAAGAAATCTGAGAAGGCACCTCCTAAGGAGCATAAGAGGTACAACCTTAAGAAGCTAACTTTTGAGGAAAGGAAGGCTAGGTTGATTGAGAGGTTGAATGCATTGAATTCGGCTGCTGGAAATGACGATGATGATGATGATGAGGAAGAGGATGATGAGTGAAGAACCGGATTGCTGCTCAGAAGGTTCCTGTGGCCGCAGCTAAGAAAAGCCCAGCTCCTGCAGCTGCTCAGCAGCAGCAATCCAAGCCGGCGGCTAAGCTTCCTTCGAAGCCGCTCCCCCCAGCTCAAGCTGGTTAGCTTTCCTTTTCCCTTTCTCCATCCTTTTTTTATTTCTTCCCTTTTGAGTATCTTATTTGTTTTGCACACTTTTGTATTGAAGTTTTAATGGGCGTTAGGGGTTTTTGTACTTCAATGGTATTTAGTGAGGAAGCAACAAGTAAAAATGATAACAGTTCTCTTTAGAATTTGAAATGGATGAGATAATTATTGCCTGTTGAGTTGATAAACTTGATATGAAATGCAAAGGAACAGATAAAATTTTGAATTTTGCTCTAATTTGTACACGTTATTTTTGGCTACCGTTGATTTTTTTCTCCTCCTTTTTTATTTACTTTTGTCAAAATTGAGCATTTGTCCTCCAGGAGATACCCGTTAGTATTTGTTTTAGCACAGGTTTTTGTCTTGTTTAACATAAGCACTATTTAAGATTGTGAAAACTTCAATTATGCTGGAAGATTGCTGTGCGCTCCAGTGGTGACTTTTTTTTCGTAAGTATCTTTTCCGATGTTGATGTTAATTTTTAGCTTTTCGAATCAAATTTGGCCATTTACTTTTCCGTTTTTATCTTGATACAAAAATCTCTATTTCTTATTCAATTACTGATTGAAGGATTTGCAGTACTCTCGATTTTCAAGTAAAAGGTTGCTGCTGAAGCTCAAGTGGGTGCTCCCTTCTACTTAAACAAAATTTTGGCCTTTCTTTGTTTCTTCGTTCAGCTTTATCATTTTCCTTAAATAATTTTGGGTTTCTTCATTGTGTAGGTCTATGCAGCTGCTACTGTCTTTCTTGTACCATTTTTGGAGAGGAAGGGAAATTTCCTGAGGTGAACTTCAATTTCATTATTTTTGGGTTGTTTTCTTGTGTTGCTTAGGTAATTTCTTTTAACCATGTAATGCATCAAAATTCATAAAAGCACAATAATTTTACAGAAATTTAAGTAAAGTTTCATGGTTTTAAGTATCTTTTACCTTGTTTCGCTTCCAATCTATATATATGGTAAATCACCCTTGCCGGAAGTCATAAAAGATTTCCTGTTTTGCGTTAAAATATTTGGCTATGGGTTCAACATCAATTTTAGTGATTTTGCATAAGTATACTACAGGTTGTAAACATTTTTTGAACTCTATTTTTAATGTGGAGTTAATATTGAAGGCAGTGTAGTGGAGGTAGGTTTTGCATGGTTTGTTTAACAATTTGTATCCTTTCATGTACTAAGTGATCCTCCCGTGCATGGCAGGTTCATATAGATTCTGTAACAGTTACTTATTAAGCTTCATTTATCCTCTTATATAGGTCATGCAAGCTGCACAACCTGTTAATGTGCCAGATTATCACTCTATAGACAGAAGCTCAGCTAAAAGGACATTACAGATGTAACTAACACAGACTTCGATGCAAAAAAAAGGTTTCATAATTTCTTCATGTTATGTCTATTGATATTCAAACAATTACAGCTCTTTGATATACAAAAGATTGGTTTGCTGTTTGTTTTTTTGTTTTTGTTTTTTTTCAAAACATTGATATGTTTAGAAATGATTAGCATTGGCCTAACTTTCGACAATAAGAGAACACCCCCCCTTTTTTAACACCGGTCATTGATATCTATTTTTATTGTCTCTCTGCTATAAGTTTTTAGTATTCCATTTTGATGGCTGAACTTTTTTTAATCTGTAAAAAGATTAGAAATAATTCAGATAGGTTGTCTTCAATTGAGTCAGAAAGTGCATTGGTTGGGAATGAGCCAAAAAATGAAGGGTTATTGTCTGCTACATCCTCCTCACATGGCAAGCTGCTGAAGGTTCGAACTGATACTGCTAAGCTTTTTTTCTTGCAAAACCTTTTCTTTAAGCTAACAGTATTGATTGCAGTTGTACTATATGTTTCAGATTGTAATGCAAAAATACATAAGGAGCTATCCAAATGACTAAAAGCCTTTTTAGTGATAGCCTCTGGAGGTATCTCTCTCTGAATATGATCAATTCGTATATCAATAGATAGCCTTCTGTTTTGCCTTGTTGCACATTTTGCCACCATTAATCTGTTGTTCTGTTCAGGACATAATTTACTCTCTTCATTTATTTTCAGAACTGGTGAATTGAGCTGCTTTTCATTTTGAGTTTGAATGAGAAACTTTGTTTTCATGCTTGTTTAAGTTACTTTAAGTATCCAGAAATGAGTGTGAGAATTACATACTTGTTATCATGTCTCTTCAAGATAGTCCAAAGTTGTATGTTTTGTCAAGTACATTAGCCAACAAAAATTTTTTTTTCAGATTCAATATTAAATGTATGTCTCAACGAAAAGTTACTTAGATATTCCTATCAATTGACTTTCTTCTTGATTAATGTGCATGTTAGATTGAGTAGGCTTCTGATCTAATGCAATGCTTTGAAAACTAGCCTTTAAATCAAGGAACCTAAAATAACTAATATTTTTAACTTTAAACTTTCATTAACTTTGGTGCAAATCTGTCAAGTCTATCTTTTTTCTTTTCTTATTAATAATGGTGCGCTTGTGATTTATTGTTCTGGAATTAGCAAGCTTCAAATATTTTGCAAGAGTTGATCAACATTAATAATGATGCAAAAGTTATATAAGCAATCCAAGATCAGGTCGAAGATGATAAGGCTATCTTTATTGAACAAACAGCAGTAAAATCTATTTGTGGAGTCTTTGATCACTTGTTTACTGCTCAAGTTGGCACTCCAAATGAGCAGCTTCTGCAATTCATCTGTGTCCTGTTCCTAAAACTTAGTAAGTGTGCAATTCTTTGATTCTTGCAAAGATGCAGTCTACTGAGTCTCATAGCTTGATAGGAATAAATTTATCAATGTCGTAATTGAAAGTAGCTTATAGTTATCAGCTACAGGTGCTTGATAGCGTCTAACTGAGAACACTTATTTCTGCATGTTTCCCTGTCAGAATGATTGTTTTATATTGATTTTCTTTTTAATAATTGCATTTTGGATATTTTTGTATGACATTTACGTTGTTTACTCGTTCACTGCAAAGATTTATATTAGAAGCGTACAATTTGATATCATCCTGAAATCCCCATGTGATTAGTTTTTTCGCCCATGTATCTCAGCAAAATAATTGAGATTGGACTGTATTCTTACAATTTATTTTCCTTGGCAGTTCTTATCATTTTCTAAATTTCTGTCTACAAGCATGCATCTAATTTCCCTGGGACTTAGAGTTGTTTTCGTATGTTTCTAAGCTTGACCCAAAGAAGTGGTTGAGCAAGGGAACTTAGTAGTAGAGGAGGCAGCTGTAGGTGATGATGAGAAGAATGCCTCCGTTGTAGGTGCTCAGTCGGTGGCTGCAGTTGACAAGGCCAAAAAGGTGATTCAGACAGGGGACATTCAAGTGGAGGAGGCAACTGTTGGTGCTGAAGGGAAGGATGCCTCTATACTAGGTGTCAAGTCTGTGGCTGCTGTTGGAGGGGCTGAAGAGGTCAAAGAAGTGGTTGAGACGGGGGAATTTGAAGTGGACAACACAACTGTAGGTGATGAAGGGAAGGATGCATCTAACACAGCTATTTCTTCCCAACTTGATAGTGCCGAATCTGTTGCTGCAAGGAGCAATGATGTGGTGGTTGACGAAGCTGTGGCCATTGTTGGAAGAGAAAAGCTGCGGCCATGGTTGGAGGAGAAAAGCTGCCTGCTCGGCCAGACAATTTGCAATCAAGCGCTAATGAATCAGTCACAGTTGAGCAAGATGCAGAAATGGTGGTGATACCCGTGGAATCTTCTGCAGTGGTGACAGGAGAGGAGAAAGAGAAGTTACCTGACGGTAAAGAAGTAATGGTAGATGAGATTGTGAAAACCGAGATTAAGGTGGACATGGAGATATCCACTTCGGCTGCTGAGGTAACTGAAGGTGAAAATATTATGGGTTCACATGGTTTACAATTGGATGATAATGAACCTCCAAATTCAGCTAAAGAAGAGGTGGATAAAGAGATAAGTATTAGTGAGGAGACAGGTATTGTAGGCAACGCAGCAATGGATGACATAAACAAAATGGAAGATAGTAAGAGTGGGGTGGTGGAGGAGGAAAGTCTTCTAGCCAATGCGGAGATGGGTGAAAAGAAGCAAATGGCAGCACCTGAAAATTCTGTGCCAAATGATTTGGAGTTTGTTGGTCAACAGTCAGTGGTTACAGTTAGTATTGAGCAAAATAAGGAAAATATTCAAGAGGACGGGATTCCAACTGCGGACACTGAAATGGAGAAGAAGATTGAGGCTGAAATGGTGACTACTAGGGTTAGTGATGTTGAGTCCAATGCTAAAATAGATGATTCAGTGTCTGTTCCACAAGATGAGGAAGATGAAGACATGGTTGCTGAGGAGGGATCTGCTCTGGCGGAGACGGAATTGGAAACTCAAACAGATGTTGGGGAGTCAAGCAAGGCTGCTGGAAAGAAGCGCAAGAGGGGGAAGAATTCTAAAAATTTGACTAATTCTAAAATTGGAGGAAGAGCTCAAAAGCTAATGGATGAGGATGTTTGTTTCATTTGCTTTGATGGGGGGAACCTTGTGCTGTGTGACCGGCGGTAAGTATGCTGGCTTTTCAAATTGAATTCCATTCCACTTGAAATTTATTTCAGAGGAGAGTGTGAGGGTTGAAAATATGTTAACTAATGTGTTGAATATGATCCACATGCTTATTGTATCTACTTATGTGCCTTCTTTGTAAATGATATTGATTCATTATTTTTTCAGGGGTTGCCCCAAGGCATATCATCCTTCTTGTGTTAATTGGGATGAGGCATTCTTCCGTGCAAATGGTTAGATGAGGGGATGCAACAATATTCACACTTAACCTTAAATTTGTTTTGGAGGGTTCAGATGCATAAGTGCAGTGCTATTCTCTTTAGTTGTTTATATGTGATACCTACTTTGTGAAATTTATCTGTTCTTAAGTAGTTTTGAAAGCTTTATTCACTTATTGTACTCACTCTCGAGAGACTAATTTAACATGCGGACAACTTAACATACTCTGAAAACTGAAGAACGTGACTTATTGACATGTCCAATGAGACTAACCTTTAATTGCTCTAAGGTTTGAATACCTCTTCTTACCTCAGTTGCGCACTTTTGGAATATCAAGAATAGGAAAGAGAACCTCAGGAAATTGCAGAAATGACTTGACTCGTCATGTTAAAAGGGTTGGGATTTGTATGTCATACGAGACATGACATTTGAACATTATTCTTGATGAAGTTGATATATCAGCATGCTCTTTACAATTGACATTATTTACTATACATGTAGTTTGATAAAGGATGATTACTTGTTAACGTATACTCTGGGAAAATTGAGCCCTCCACTTCATGCTTTTATTTAATCGTTTTTCTATGCTGAAGTTTTCATAAAATATGGTTTCATAAAATATGGTTGACTGATCTCTGCTTGCTCTTTCGTTGCTGGGATGTAATTAGGAGCTATCATTTTCCATTGATTTTGTCTTCTGTGGATACAGAGGGCCATTTTCGTTGAACTAGAATGTTGGAATAGGCGTTTTGGTTAGACATATTCAATTTGACGTTGTTGTGTTATATTTATGCAGGTTTTGATTGCCTTTGACATGCACTCTTGTCCTTTTGTTGTATTTCAGGTTGGCATATTTGTAGCACTTGTCAAAAGAATGCCTATTACATGTGTCTTACCTGTCCTTTTGCCTTGTGCAAAGGATGTGTGAAAGATGCTGTTTTCTTATGTGTCCAAGGAAATAAAGGCTTTTGTGAGACATTCATGAGGATTCTCAAGCTGATTGAAGCGATGACAAAGACACTAACAATGTACTCTCTCTCTCTCTCTCTCTCTCTTCCCTTTCTTGATAGGTAGAATTACCTTTAATTATGGTGGTGTAAGTACTAAGTAGAGTAATTTATATTCAATTAGGCCTTGGTCATACTCATTCTGATTGGTTTTCGTTGTATATTGGTTGTAATAGTTATTTTAACTTTTCTCTTGATAGGTTTGCTGGTTTGTTCATATTTTAATAGCTTCTATCTTTTTGTTATCTTTGTGGGCGTGCTTGGACTAATGCTTTCTTTGACTTCTTTATGAGTTTTCACCATATGCATCTAATGATTATTTGGTTCTTTTAAAACCCATAATACCTGCTATTACCATTCAAGGAGAGAATGTGAATTGGGTTGCCAAAGGTTCTGGCTAATAAACCTCTTTTTCCCTTTAGAATGGAATTTTTTGAACAACACCAATTTTATTCCTTTAACCCTTCAACATCAATTCTGTTTTGACACAATTGCATATTTAACAGATTAATGTTTTTTCATGTGTGGTTTTCCAGGCAAAATTGGATTGTTTGGTTTAGGTCTTAAAAATTGTCTTGCTGTAAAATTGTGAATCTTTTGATTAAACTTTGCTCATGATATGGTGGGGCTATTTGGTGTCTCTTTTAGTGAATTTATGGTGGGGTTAAGATCTGTTGCTAATGAAGAGGAATCTGCTGGTGCGGTTGTGCACACGAATGGGCATCAGAAGAACTTCTGGAATTTGTTGTGCACATGAAAAATGGTGATAAATCTGTTCTGTCTCAATTTGATGTTCAGGCTCTCCTGCTTGAATGTATCAGACAACTTTTATGTAGCACTGCAGTGGCTTCAGCAATATATTTTGAGTCAGCCATGCTGCTGTATATGTAAATGGTATACTTGGCTCTTTCTTTTGAACGACTACCAGACAATTCTTGTACAATACTCCAATGATTTTATCCTTTTGAATTATAGCATCGTATTAACCATTAAAAAATATCACAATAACAAATAAAATCTTATTAACAGGTCTAAAGTTCCCACGCAAAGCTTGGGAAGTCATTACCTTCAAATCTTCAATATACATATATATATTCTCGTTAATGGTGCCAAAAAATTAAACAGCTCTGATACCCCCAAAAAAAAAAAGAAGAGTTAAGATTCAAATTAACCTAATTCAACGCATTGAAAATTTGTAGAAATGAATTTAAACCTCCTCTTTCCATCAATTTTTTTTTCAACGACCGTTAATCACGCTCCTAACACCATTCAATAGCTAAGATTTCTAGCCGATTACTACTAATCATCGCCTATAGGCTATCAATAGCCTCTTCCCCACGATCCAACAAACAAACAATCACCACTCAGATCAGATATTTTTCATAAGTTGTCCTATTATCAGTTTTACACCACTAAGACTATCATGGCTGAAGAGAAGCACCACCAACACCACCTCTTCCACCACCACAAGGAGGAGAAGCCTGTCGAAGCCGTTGCCTACTCCGACACCACCTACTCTGGAGGCTACGGTGGCGGGAGTGGCTACGGTGCTGGCGCCACGGAAACTGTTGTGGTGGCTGGAGAGCCAGCACATGATTATGAGAAAGAAAGAAAGCACAACAAGCACCTTTGAGGAACTTGGTGCTGTCGCTGCTGCGCCTATGCCTTGGTATATTTCCCATTTTTTGATCCTTTTGTTTATATAACTCAGTTTTCATGATAAGCCGCGAAGCCATGCTTGTCTATAAGAAGCCACAAACTCAGTTTTTTGTATTAGTCCATAAAGACTAAACATTTTTGTTATCATTTCGTTTGATCAGACAATCAAAGATTATACACGTCCAATATCAAAAGGGTTGTTCAGTAAATTAGAAAAATCTCTGAACTCTTAAGTAGGACATCGGTTTTCGCTTTACTAATTTCTTGTTTGTTTTTTTTTCTCGAAATTTCCATAATCCAGCATGAGAAGCACAAGTCCAAGAAAGATCCTGAGCATGCCCACAAGCACAAGATAGAAGAAGAGATTGCTGCAGCAGCTGCAGTGGGTGCTGGTGGATTTGCGTTCCATGAGCAACACGAGAAGAAGGATGCCAAGAAAGAAGAGAAAAAGGCTGAGGGAAAGCACCATCACCACTAGAGGTGGCAATATGGATAAATGGTTCATAATTGATTTTGACTTAATGGATGGTGGATAAAATTTATCCAATCTATTTAGATCCATTTAATAATCCATTTAATAAATGGATCTAAATGGATTAAATAAAAATCAATTATCCATTTATAATCCATTTAAATATTTTTGTTACTTTTTTTTTGTATTACCATTTCTTGTAAATTCAAGCCACAAAATACCACGGGTGTAAATTCAAGCAAAATGAACCTTCATTTCACTAAAAAACTATCTGAAATTATTATTATTATTATTATTATTATTATATATATTACATATTACAGAGTAGCCATATATTGCAAACTAGCCCAAACAATAGCAGTCCTGCATAGACCGTACGTAGGGTATCTACAAAAATACCAACACTAGCTTGTATTCGTACTCACACAACACTTGCAATGTCTACTACTAAAGCCACGGATGGCTTTTGAGCTCAACATCTAGTAATCAGGTGCATGGGTGTACCAAGCAGGGAGGCTGAACCGCAAATTCTGTGGTGCCAGGCTTGCACTCTAATCCTCCACAACTACAAGGAATCGTTGGGAAAAAGTAATGGGTTTGCTTCAAAGCCAACCGAATCTCACTTGTTTCCTGACCTCTTCAGCAGTAAACCCCAACATTCAGTTTCAGGGTTGGTTACTATTCACGGGGACAGCTTTTTCACACCCCAATTGCAATTTTAGGATGGCTCCTTTTTTAGTCATTTCCTTTCCCTCTCTTTTATTTGGTTTTTAAATAAATGGATATATATGGTTTTAGTGGATAATCCATATAAATCCATTTAATTTAATGATTTTACTTTGATCAACCATTTAAAACCAATATTATAAATGGATAATCCATTATCCATTTAATTATGGATTATATGGATGGATAAATGGATTTCAATCCAAATTGCCGCTTCTAATCACCACCACCTATTTTAGTTTAATCACTCTGATTTTCATTAATCCTTGGGTGGTCTTTTAATATTGTTCCCCTGTCTATTTCCAGTATTGAGCTTGTACTATCAATAATCATGTTTAATAATCTGTTACTCAGAAAAAAAAGTGTTGTCCTTCATTTGAGATATGCGCCTGATTTTGTTGGCGCTGCTGACTTGATTAGAGTTTGTGTGAAGTGCTGTTGTTATTAATGAAATGTTTGGTTGCAGTATAAAAATTAGATATCAGTTTGGAATATGCACAAAGGATGATGAAGGATGGCAATGGGGCCGATGTCACGGGGTAGAAATGGGGCGGGGGCGGCGGCGGCAGCGGGCGGGGGCAAAATATTTTCATCCACCTTAAAATGGGGCAGGGGATGGGGCAACATACACCCGCTCCATCTCCCGTCCCGTCCTTCGCATATAATTATAAAAAGATATATATAAATATAATATAATCCTAAATTTTTCAAAGTTGCATATTTACTTACAAGTACAATGCTAGTCAGTGTCAATGGCCGTCACAATAACTGAAGAAATTACTTGGACTATTGTTGATTTGTTTCCAACGCCCCCAAGATTAAGTTATCCAATTTCAACATGTTTTGCTCTTAACCTTTTTCTATTTTGATCGGTTCTCTTCCTCCGCACTAAATGTAACTTAACTTGTTGTATTTTATTTTTATTTTGACAACTTTTTAATCTTATTTAACAATTGTATTATTGTAAGTGAACATTTATGATAAATTAATTTCTTCCTCCCGTGGGAGAAACAGGGCAGGAGCGGGTGGGGGACAAGGGGCGGGAGACCGGGGGAGTTATTTGACAAGGAGGCGGGGGCTGGGGCGGGGGAAGGATCCCCCGCACCAACCCCGCCCCATTGCCATTGATGAGTATTCTTTTGGGCTCATTCTGATGATCCGCATAGAAATTTGTTTTTCCCAATAATTTGTGACGTTACTTGAAATGAAATTTGTTATGGTGTTAATTATCAAATCAAGTGGCATGTTTCATGAGAAAAAAAATCAATAAAAGATATTAACATCTGAATTGCATTTCCTTATTAAATTTAAATGGAGATAAGCTCAAATTAAATTCGACTCCACAATTTCTGCAAATGCAATGATGTACAGTTAAATCATCACAATTAAAGGTGGAAGTAAATGTCCTAAATTAGCATTGACTCAAACCAATACACACTTATCTTAAACTTAATAAGGTTACAGATATGATCAATTTAGAATTGTTCATGATACAGGAGGACCAACTAAACAATGTTCTTAGTTAACATACAACTCCAGCAGATTGAATAATGAATGTCTATTATACTTAAACATTGAACACTAATTAAGTCAAAACTTTCATTTTTTTCTAGCATAAATGTAAATGCAACTTGAGGTTCATTTTTCTTTTTTCTTTTTTTTTTAAAAACTTGTCTACTTTCATCGAATAAAAGAAAACTAATAGAACGTTGAGGTATGGCCATTTCTTGCGCCCCTTCCGCCTCCCACTATTAGGATTTATCCCAACTGATTGGGAAAGGATCACCTATAAATAGCAATGTCATGAAATTCCTAGCACTCAATATATATATATATATATATATATATATATATATATATATATATATATATATATATATATATATATTTATATCAAAATTACATTCCTTAACCATTTCAAACTGACAACCACAATGGCTGATCAGACTCAGCACCATCATCTCTTCGGCCACCACAACGAGGAAGAAAGGAAACACCACAAGCATCTTGAAGAGCTCGATGAGCTTGGAGCTGCTGCAGCTGGTGCCTACGCTTTGGTAAAATTCTAATGTTCTTGATTTATGCTGGTTTATTTTCCCATAGATTAATCAATCAAATACTTAACCTTGCTCTTGCTGGTGTTCTTAACCACCACCTCCCCCCCCTCCCCACAAAAACACAAAACACCAAAAAAAAAAAGGGATTAATCATGCTTTTTCATTCACAGAAGGGGAAGATTTATATATCAATTTTGGTACAACTATTGTTAGACGTCTTCCCTAAAATCAAGATTGATGATGGGTTAGACAGTAGTGGACATTCATTTGTATACTCCACTGTTAGGAGGAGAAGTTGCATTTAATTTTGGAGAATGTCAAAAGCCAGTTTTCTTAAAACCCATATGATAGTGGGTTCAAAATGGACTAGATCTGCAAGTGGCTAAAAGGTGTTTCATCAACCGCTATTTCTGGATATCTAAAGATTGAAAACTAGTAGTGATTCCTGAGCAAACCAAGCCCAAGTACTATACTAAAACTTGTAGACATAATTAAATATGGTCTGAGCCAAAATAATTTCTGAACTTTGTTAGCTGATCTATGGTATGAATTTGCATGGAATGATGGTCAGCATGAGAAGCACAAGGCCAAGAAGGATCTTCAGAATGCCCACAGGCACAAGTTAGAAGAAGAGATTGGTGCAGCTGCTGCAGTTGGAGCTGGCGGATTGGCATTCCATGAGCATCATGAGAAATATAATGCCAAAAAAGAAGAAGAAAAGGCCGAGGGAAAGCACCACCATCTATTTTGAATAATGATAAGGGTTCCTTCAATTTTGTTGCTAGTTTACATCCAGTTTTCTACTTTCACAAGAAATAATTATGTGCGTTTTTTCTCCAAAAAAATGGTAATGTTAATTTATCTTTGGGATTTGCTTCTGATTTACATTTGTGGTGGAATTGGTCTCACTCTTATGCTCAATTATTTGTGTAATGATTCTACCGTTATGTCTCGTATAATTAGTGACGGAGGCAGGATTTTTTCGTTGGGGAGGGGGGTGGGGGACCAAAATTTTTTCGAACAAAATTATCTTAATATGTTATATTCAAAATAATTTTAATTTATTTAAATATAAGACATCTTAAAATATCAAATATTAACTTTAATTATAAAGGTATGTCTATTTCATACATATGTAATATAGTCATAATTAAAATTAAGACAAGCAATAACTTTTGATTAAATATCTTATAATATGACAAACCATCTAAGTTGCACATTATGAGAAGATGCCCCAATATGTCACTTGTACAAAAAGAAAAATATAACTATGCAATATAAATATAACTATTTCAATTAAAAATATAAAAATTATGTTAACATACTTTGAAATTTCATCCTCTTTTATTAAAAGTAAATCGAGCTTTACATTCTAGAACTAAATTCATGTATAATTGAATCAATGCTAAATTTTTGAACAACTTCATTTCTTTATGTACATTGTTAGGCTATCATTCAAGAAATTATTTTTTATCCTGTTTTGGAGCTTTATTTTGATTATTTTCATAATCGAAAATATCCATTCTATAGACTATAGAATGGAGCCAGGATTTTTTCCTTAAGAGGGGGGCCAAAATTATCTTAATATATTATGTTCAAATAATTTTCATCTATTTAAATATATGGCATTTTAAAATATCAAATATTAACTTTAATTATAAAAGTATGTCTATTTCATAAATATGCAGCATAGTCATAACAAAAATTAGGACAAGAAATAACCTTTAATTAAATATCTTATAATATCACAAACTACCCAAACTGTACATTATGAGAAGGTGCCCCAATATGTCACTTGTGCAAAAACAAAAATATAACCATGCAATATAAATATAACTATTTTTAATTAATAAAAGACAAAAGTTATGTTAGCATACCTTGAAATTTCAATTTCTTTTCTTAAAACTAGATTGAGTTTTACATTTTTCCGTAGAACTAAATTCATCTATAATTAAATCAGTGCTAAATTTTTAAACTTCCTTTTTTTTTTTGTGTACATTGTTAGGCAATCATTCAAGAAATTATCTTTTATCTTGTTTTGGAGCTTTGTTTTGATTATATTCATAATTGAAAAAGATAAAAGATAGCAAATATAATCAATCTATCAACAATGGGATAGATCACTCAATTTCTTGTCTTCACCAAGCCTTCAAGTAATTATTTGTATATTTGTATATGAGTCAACAAGAGGATAGATCAGTAATTTTAAATTTTTTATCTATTACGCTAAAATGTATATTTGTATATGGATCAATAAAGTAACTATTTTTATTTTAGCCCATTGATAATTATGAATTAAGTCTTTTATTATAATATATCAAATTGGGTCAATTTACTATGGATCATCAATTATATGTTTATTTTTTTGAAAGTTAAATAACTAGCACAATAAAAAATAAATAAATTTTTTTGAAGAAAAAATAAAATCAAAGGTAGCTAATTCACACACACACACATATATATAAAAACTCTCATAATATAAACTAAAATTGTAAAAAATTAGGAGGGGACCAACTTTGTCTTATACATATATTATATATTATGAATTAAAATTTTCAAAACTTAGGGGGGCCATGTCCCCCCTCAGCCCCCCTTGGCTCCGTCATTGCGTATAATCTATGTAATAATTGGTAGGTTTTCTTAGATAGAGATATAACAAGAAAAACCAAGTGATCACGGGTTGGAATCATCAAGGGGTGAGTGGAGAATCACTATTAATCATTTTTAAGGGAAAAAGGGTAAATTTAGAGCATTCAATCTTTTCTTGAGGATGCATTTAAAGATTCATGGAACAATTAAACTTGTTGCAAAACAATTTTGTTGGTTTTGCAACATGTAAATCTCAATTGTTAAAATTGTAAACTCTGATTGGTGAGACTGTATAACATCGAGCCCATTTGGAGTGTTAGGACCCTATTGGATGAGAGAGATTCTTGATTAAGTTCCTTATCTTCATGAAGGTGACAGGCTATCTACATTACTTCTCAATTTAGTTCCTTTATCTTCATAAAAATTGGCCAATGTATGGTAACATTTATGATTTAACTGAAAATTGTAGGAAACTAAAGAATGAATGAGTTACTTGAATTGCTCCGAAACTATTGGAAAGCAATCTTTCAAGTGCCAAAAAATAAATATTCTGTGGTGTTAAAGCAATGAGATGCGAGGAATGACTGGCTTAAAAAATAGCATCCACATTTACAAATGTGAAATATTGATGCGAAAAGTTTTGACTGGCATTCTGTAATGCTGACGATGGCACTGTGAACCCTTATTGAAATATTGTCGAATTCCACATTATAGTAAGAAATCTATTAGAAAATTGAAAATTGGTCCTTTGTCTTAATTAAGGTCATTGTTCTGTTATCATGGCTATAGTCTTAGTCCCTCAACAATAAAAATTTGATCAATGTAGTCCGTTGAATAGAAAATTGGTCCCTAATAAATTGGACAATTTAGTAGCATCAGTTACACAACCTACACGACACGGCTAGATATTCCAGACACGATACTTGACTATTCTACTTGTGGCTTTGGTTAATGGAGGAAAAAAGGTGAGAAGAAGACTCAGGGTCTCCGCCTGCAAGTACTGGCCAAATGGTCAAAATGAATACCAACGTAGCTGCTTAGAATATTGTTCAATTTGATGTTACATAAATTGGACATTAGTCTTTGATGAAAATAGCTAGTCAGCAATGACAACAATCTATAGACACATTAACACTCCACAAAGTAAAAATTTTGGCCTCAATTGGTAGGTGGAGGAGCGTATCATGTTTGTCTTTTGATCAACATATAATGTGGCCACAAATCTCACACCAAGATTTTGATCATGTTTGTCCCAGTTAAGGGCCATAATTTTGTGACGAATTTTTTTTTCTTTTGAATCAGCTTTAAAAAATATTCAAATCACTATTGGAAGTTCCCAAGTAATTCATCAAATAGCTTCTACGAGTTTCAAACTATGTTAGCCGTTGTCGAGGCCGCAGCTCTTAGATAAGGTACCTGAGATGCCTAGGAAGAGGAAATGAGAGATGCATGAAGAGAGTTATGCAAATAGTTTAGAAAATATGTTCAAATACATTCAAAAGAATGGAGTATATCCCCGAAATGCGTATCTAAGTTACGGCTATTATAGGGATAGGGATAGGGAGGCACTAGATCCAGATTGTCGAAAATATACTGTGTCTGAATATAGGATGATTTCTAGGGACGAGACATATTGGAGGGTGAAAGACCGACCGGTCGTGGCTAATTTGAGATACGCGACCGTGTTTCAGCTTTGGAAACATTTTACAGAGTATGGGAGGGGGACTGCCTGGCAAGGAGGCACAGAATTAATGGTTGTTCCAGGCTTCAAGCAAGCAAAAAGATATAAGAATACATATCATGCTGTACTATTAGTTGCGTCGGGCACCATTAGTGTTGGTAGGTCCGATCAGGGACAGCAATTTTTTATCGCTAAAAATTCATTTGGTCCAGGATATGGTTTGCAAGGTTTTTGTAGGGTGCTTGCGAGCTTATTGAGTGATTTTTGCATCCCTGAGGATGTTAAGCTAATGGGGATGTGGTTGGGAATGATGATGTGGCTGGGAATGATGATGTTGCTGGGGATGATGGGGGTGTTAATGATCCGGGTATTTCTTTCCAACCTCAGCTTATCACTGGCTTCTAGTAGCATGCTTTTGAGCATTTTTAAATTAAATATAGATGTTCAACTTTTAGTGTTGGTATTGTTTTCCTCTATGGACTACTATACTTATTGAATAAGCGGCATTTAGATTTAGTTAACAAACTATCAGGTTCTATGCAGTCTTCTCTCTAAGCTAGAGGTGATGTTTTAGAGTTTACCATCTTATTCTACATCTTGATATTGTTTTAATGCCTGACTATGATTTTTTGTGTTGCCCGGTAATGTATGGGGAATGATTTTATACATGTTTAGCTGAAGACTGCTTAATAATCATGGGCAATGCAACAGTGAATGCATAGCATGATATTTCTTGGCATTCTTTGATACTTGTACTTAATTATTTTCCAAATAAGCTGCAAAATTATCATGCTTGATGTTTGATTTTTCCCTTTTTTCGCTTCTTTGGCATCTTTATTTTGGTCTTTTTCATGATAGGACTGTTCACTCAATATCTTTCTTGTATCTGCAGAACAACCAGGTGACAGCATCCCAAATTTTAGTGTTTCAAATGCCTCAAGTCTCACTGGCATGGGAAGAAATGAGTGTATCGACATTATGAATGAGTACAGATCTAAGGTAATTTCTGGTAATAGTTGATGCCTAATTTCGTACTTTGTGTTATGATCTTCTGTTCATGCTAGCACAGAAAACTGAATGATCAATGTCCTGCCTTGGAGCAGAACGACAAGCTGCTTGAAAACTATCTGTGCTATAAGAGTGTAACTGAGTCCAAACAATTCACAATAGTAATTTATTTCACGCAGCCACATCAATGCTTTCTGCTCCAAGGCAGGACATTGATCATTCAGTTTTCTGTGCTAACATGAACAGAAGATCATAACACAAAGTACGAAATTAGGCATCAACTATTACCAGAAATTACCTTAGATCTGTACTCATTCATAATGTCGATACAAAATTTTAGTGTTTCAGATGCCTCAAGTCTCATTGGCATGGGAACCAGCCATGTATTATAACAAGAACAACTTTATGTCATTCGTACTCATCCTAGAAGTGTAATGAGCAACTTTTGAAAGAAACTGCTGAGAACCAGCCATGTATTACAAGAAAGAAACGAAGATATCGTCCATCGAAATTAGTTTACTATTGTAAAATCAAGTTAAAAATAAATCAAGAGACT